CTCCCCTGAAGTGTTCTGTCACAGCCCCCTCAGATGGGCCACCATGCGCAGATTCACAGCCCCTTTCCCTGGTTTGTATGAGGACCCAACAGGCGTTTCCCAAAATGTGTCCACAGGCCGCTGGTACGGGGACCCTGGGAATGTATAGGGGGGCAACGAAGGAGCACTCGTCATTATTTTACTGGTGGTTGTCTATCTAATATCTTCTATTTATATTGAAAAAGATATGCCACTGCCATACGAAACCCATAGTTTCATTAATTTTACTGTTTGAATCAAGGCTAAGATCAAAAATAGAGAAAGATACAGGGCCGGCCCAGTGGCATAGTGGTTAAGTTCGCACACTCCGTTTGGCTGCCTGGGGTTCACTGGTTTGGATCCCAGATAAGGACCTACACACTGCTCATCAAGTTGTGCTGTGGTGACATCCCACATATAAAATAGAGGAAGATGGGCACAGATGTTAGCTCAGGGCCACTCTTCCTCAGCAAAAAAAAAAGGGAAAAACAGGGAAGGGAAAGAGATGATGTGAATAAAACAATAACCCAAGCGCTACCAGTGGTATTTGTTCCAGCCCCACGAGGACAGGAACGTTGTCTGTTTGGTCTCCAGCTGTGTCCCCAGTGCTTAGAACAGTGCTGCCTGGCACCTAATAATTGCTTGCTCAATAAATATCAGTAGAATGAAGGAGTCAGTAGTAGAAATTAGGAAAGCCACACTTAAACGTCTGAATGTAGGGAAACGCTGAGGGAACACACGAACCTCTCCATGGTGCCCAGCATGAAGGAAGCGCTCAAATTGGTGTGCTTATCCTCATAAAAATCATTAGGATTTAGAGGTGCAACAAATAGGTATTCTGGCCAAACGTTAAAATCAAGATATGCCCCAACAAGTGGTGCTGGGAAAACCGGACAGCCACACGTAAAAGAATGAAAATCGACCATTCTTTTTCACCATTCACAAAAATAAACTCAAAATGGGTCAAAGACCTAAAGACACGACCTGAAACCATAAGGCTTCTAGAAGAAAACATAGGCAGTACACTCTTTGACATCAGTATTAAAAGGATCTTTTTGGACACCATATCTTCTCAGACAAGGGAAACAATAGAAAGAATAAACAAATGGGACTTCATCAGACTAAAGAGCTTCTTCAAGGCAAAGGAAAACAGGATTGAAACAAAAAAACAGCCCACTAACTGGGAAAAAATATTTGCTAGTCATATATCTGACAAAGGGTTAATCTCCTTAATATATAAAGAACTCACACAGCTCAACAATAAAAAATCAAACAACCTGGCCAAAAAATGGGCAAGAGACATGAACAGACATTTCTCCAAAGAAGATATACGGATGGCCAATAGGCACATGAAAAGATGCTCACCATCACTCATCATCAGGGAAATGCAAATCAAAACTCACTAAGATATCACCTTACACCCATTAGAATGGCAAAAATAACCAAAACAACAAGTAACAAATGTTGGAGAGGTTGTGGAGAAAAAGGAACCCTCATACACTGCTGGTGGGAATGCAAACTGGTGCAGCCACTGTGGAAAACAGTATGGAGATTCCTCAAAAAATTAAAAATAGAACTACCATACGACCCAGCTATCCCACTACTGGGTATCTACCCAAAGAGCTTGAAGTCAGCAATTCCAAAAGTCCCATGCACCCCAATGTTCATTGCAGCATTATTTACAATAGCCAAGACATGGAAGCAACCTAAGTGCCCATCAACAGACGAATGGATAAAGAAGATGTGGTATATATACACAATGGAATACTACTCAGCCATAAAAAGGAACAAAACCGTCCCATTTGCAACAACATGGGTGGACCTTGAGGGAATTATGTTAACTGAAATGAGCCAGTTAGAGAAGGACAATCTCTGTATGATTCCACTCATATGAGGAATTTAAACGTGTGGACAAAGAGAACAGATTAGTGGATACCAGGGGAAAGGGGGGGTGGGGGGTAGGCACAAAGGGTGAAGGGGTGCACCTACAACACGACTGACAGGCAATAACACACAACTGAAATTTCACAAGATTGTAACCTATCATAATCTCAATAAAAATTAAAAGAAAAAAATCAAGATATGCCCAAAGCTGATTGTCATCTTAGAATGAACTTCTGAGAGATAAAAACAACCCTGAAAATGTATTAAAAATTTATGACTGTCACAATTTTATCATCCCCAATTAGAGCAGGCAAATCTCTCAGGCTGAACACTCTCATGAGGGGTCATTTTGTGCTCCCGCCGTCTGTAGCCTCCTGTGGCAGTTCTGAAACACGGCCCCAAAACCCATCGACAGGCCGAGAGGTGGGGTCTGTGTCTGTCGCTTCTCCTTGGGCAGGTTTGGGACTGTTCAACCGATAGAGTCAAGCAGAAGTGAGGCTGTGGTGGACGAGGCCGCGTTTGCTGGGATGTTCACTCTGAGCCTCTAGGAGGAAGTCCAAATGTCCTGAGGCAGCCACGCCTGGAGGAAGCGCAAGCCATTGGACAGACAAGGAGCCGGTGGTCCCAGCTGAGCCCAGCCTCGGGGCCACTCCAGCCCGGGCACCAGGCGCGGGAGTAGAGAAGGCTCCCAGTGCAGCCCCTGTCCACCGAGTCACCCCACCTTTTAGGTCTTCCGGCGGAGGGCTGGACATCGGGAGCAGAGACAAGCTGTCCGTGCTGCTCCCCACCCATCGGAGCTGCAGACCCCATGAGCTCTCCCCACCGCTGAGCGGGGTGGTCTCTGTGCAGCGAGAACCGAAACAGCCACTCCCCAAATAACCGCGGGCCTCAAATAGCACGGCTCTTTCTGCAGAAACTAGAACCCATTTCCCTACTTACCACTATTTGAACGTTCACAATAATTCTTTCTGAACATAAAATCAATGGCTGTCACAGTCACTGTCCATCCCGGCCGCGTTTTACTTGTGGAATAAACACCGTGGGAGGGTTCCCGGCCGTTCCTCCTGCAACGCGACTGGGCGGCCGCCAGCCGGAGACCACGCCAAGCTTTCCGCTCCAAGTGGCGTCCAGAGGGCTTTCTATCTTTGAAAGTGAGTGTCCGGATAGAAGCACCAACCGTAAACGCAGAGCCTGCTCGTGTCCTGATGTGGTTACATTTTTCAGAGAAGACGGGCCAAGTGCTTCTGGCTCGGAGCCGCACAGCGATGACACGGAAGAACGAGGTTTGATATTCGGTCTCTCTGGAGACTAAGATCTTGGCAGGACATCAAAGCAACCCCAGGAGTGTTATTATTATTTTTCTAATATCTGTGGGGCTCCTTTGGGTGGGTGGCAAGGTTGGTGGGAGCAGGAGGAGAAACTGAGGCTCCCAGACCCCTAGCAACAAACAAAGGGAACTGGTGGATGGCTGCTGGGTGAATCACAGTGTCCACCCCCCTCCCGCCCCCTTCTCCAAAAGAGCAGTAATGCTGGCATTATCCAGGGTGGCCCCAGGGGTGACATTTTCCCAGGAGACCACCTATCGGCTTTTAACGTCCAAATTCCGCCAGGTCCCCTAGAGTAGGGCTGCATACCCTCAGATGCCCCAGGGTGGGGCCATGCCCTCTTCAGTCCCCCCAGGGCAGTTCATATCTGCTCAGACCGGCCCTCTCCCCCCACACGGTGAGCTGTGTCCCCTCAGACCCTCCGGGACATGGTCCTATCTGCTCAGAACCCCCAGGGTGGGCCATGTGCTCTTGGAGCCCCCGAACTTCATAAAACGCATGTACGGTACATATTTCAGCCAACAGTTATGAAGAAAAACTTATAGTCACATCCCCGTCACTCAGAACACTTCTAACAAAGCAAGGCGTGAGTCAAGCCTGCAGTTAGATCTCGGGGGGATGGCTAGGACAGCGCAGCCACGCGCAGGCCTTTGGAAAAACTGCGTGGCGCCCTGCAAACGAGACGTGGGGCAGGGTGCTCCTGACTCAGACGAGGCCAAGGAAGGGATCAACTGTGCGAAGGGTGCGGTGTCCAGGGACGGTGGTGGGCGCCTTTCCCAAACAGATAGTCAGAGACGCTGTTCTATGTCTGTTTATGTTTTAGGAAATTGCCTGGGGGCTTGTGGTTGGTGGGCGACACATTACAACTTTTATCACAGGAACGCAGGGGAAAGGGGCACCCAGGGAGCGTTTTCCCGAAGACCGTCTGGTTTTCAGCAACACTGGTTTTCAGCAACACGTGGTCGAGGCTGGACAGGAAACACCTGCGTTTCTCCCCGTTTAGGGGCAGCAGCGCCCCCTGGTGGCCATCGGAGCCCCCACAAGATCTGAGGATGCTCTGGGAAAGAGTGGGGCCCAGATGGAGGCAGAGGTGGGGGTCTCAGGCTGTGCTCACAGGGCCTGGGGCCACTGTCTCCATCCCACAGGGCCTTGTTTCCTGTGGCGGCCCAAGGTGGGTGTCTTTTCTTCTCACTGCCCATCTATGTCCATTTTTTCTGACAACAGTACCACATTTCCCTTTGGGGAACCCCCCAAAGTCATGTGGTCTTTGAGGGTCTCACCGCCCCTCTCCACAAACTCCAGGCACCAGGTGCACGGTGATTTGATGAGACAGGAGCACATGACCCAAATCTGTCCAAGGAGAGCTAGGCCTGGGACTTCTTTTGCCGTAGCTATTGAGAAAGAAGCATTCCCTTTCCACTGGGGCTGCTAAATGGTCCATGGCGTATATGCCTAGGGTGTGGGGAAGGGGACATCTCTGTCTCTGGTTGTAGGAGAGGCTGCTTGGAAATGCAGCTGACACAGCGAAAAGTAGATTTGAAAGAGGAAATGAGGCACAGTCCTGATGAAAAATATTTGAGCAGCTGGATCCAGCAGTACCTGAAGCCGATATTCCAGGGCATTTCCAGTTAAGTGAACCAATTAAAATCTCTTAAGCCAGTGGGAATCAAGGGATCCTGCCGCCTGCCTGATTTGTGCCAGGCCCTAATTCTTCTCTTCCATCCCCCCAAAATGTCCTCATTGCTGCTTACATTTACAAATTCAGAGACCACATTAATCAAAACCATCTTTATTATTTAAAGAGCATCCTGTCATCAGGGGCACCGAGATGGGGATCCCCAGATGGTGGAAAAATATTTACATGGGGGCCAGGAGGGTGAGGCTCGGGTGGCCCCAGGGCTGAGTGGGCCCGCCACTATGGACAAGAGGACCCCGGAGGGAGGGTATCCTTGGGCCTGTGGGCTGGGCCCAAGAAGAATAATGTTCCATCCCAGGCCCGGGGTGGACCCCACCATGTGGGGCTGGAGCCACCTAGATCAATTCGGGCCCTGGAGGCACGCACAGCGAGGAGAAGCCACGGGTCAGAGCTGGGTCACCATGCCGCTGGCTTCGGAGTGAGTCTGGGGAAAGACAACTGGGGGCTTCCAAGGTCTGAGAGGCCTCCCCGGGCCCCGCAACTCCCCTCCACCAAGAAGCCCTCTGAAATCCATCTGCTCCCGGGGCGCCCTCTTCTAGGCCCACGCGTCCGTTTCCAGAACGCCCCTGCCTGCCTTTACCCAGGAGAGTCCCCGACACTGCCCCCCTCTGGCTCCCACCCGAGCCCAACTTTCACCTTGATGGCCTGGAAGATCCACTCTCGGAAGTCACTGACTTTGGTGTAGACGCCTGGCTTCTGGGCCAGGGCACAGCCGGTGCCCCAGCTCACGATGCCGCACAGCCGCCAACGTGGCGTCCGAGAGATGCTGTCCTCACACACGAAGGGGCCACCACTGTCGCCCTGGCGGGGGAGGAGAGGCCGAGACGGCTGGCCAGGAGGCCCTTGCGGACGGCCATGGGCCGAGACAGGGAGCCGGCCGCCCACTGCCTGGGTCTCCATCCCCGGGGCGGCAGGGCCGGGGCTGCCCCACACGGTCCCTCACCTGACAGGCGTCAATGCCACCCTCGGGGTAGCCGGCGCAGAACATCTTGGGCTTGATCTGGTTCCCGTAGAAGTCGGGGCCGTTGCAGACGTCATTGCTGATTATGGGCACTCGGGCCTCCTGGAGCACCCCAGCCTGTTGGCCTGGGGGTGTGGGGGCAAGGCTGGCCAAAGCTGGGGAGCACGCACCCCCTCTCCCTCCCACACCCACCCTGGGCTCCTTGGTGTCCCCACGCCCCAGGGCCAAGAGGCATTCGTTCCACCAGCCAGACTGCCCATCCCAGCCCGGCTCAGCGTCTCCCTCTGGTGGCGTCCCGGGGGACAGGACTCACCGTAGTACTGCGTGTTGCCCCAGCCAGTCACCGTGCAGATCTTGCCGTCCACCAGGGCCTGGCCGGCAGCCGGGAGGCACACGGGCTGGATGTATTCTGTGAGAGACACCACGCCGGTCCAGCCCCTGCCGGCGGCCCCAGGACAAACCTCTGTCCAGCTGCCCCCAGCGCCCCGGCTCTCCTTTCCTCTGCTCTTCGTAACAACCACAGCAGACGCTGCCGGCGACTGAGCTCACAGGTGCTCCCTGTGTCAGTTCTCATCTCCATCAGCCCAGGGGGGCGGGCTACGATTAGCCCATTTTACATAGGGCGGAGATGAGGCCCAGTCACTTGTCCAAAGCCCCATAACGAGTCAATGGCAGAGTCAGAATCTGACACTGGGTTGGCCCAGCTCACAAGCTTGAGTCCTTACCCATGGCTCACAGGGCCGCGCCCACCTAGAGGTGCCTTCAGGAGAAATGGAAAGAGTCGCCCTATCTTGAGATACTTGACTTCCAGCTGCCAGAAACCACCATCATAAATACACAGTCGACACCGACCACAGAGAGAAAGCACCTCTGAGACGTGCCACCTTTGTGCAGTGCACAACCCACACAAGGGATCCTGGCAGCCCTGCCTGCTGCCTGCTGCTGACTTTACTGCCTGAGCCTCAGGGCTCTCAGGTGCAAAATGGGAAGAAGAAGCGTCTCCCCCAGCGGCTGTCGTGGGAAACTGGCGAAGCTCTGAGCACCACGCCTGGCAGACAGGAAGTGCTCACATATCTGGTAATAATAGGAAACAACAATGGCCATGACCACTGACAGTAACAGAGTCTCACTGTGTGCTGGCGCCGCTCTAAACTCTTTACTCATATTCACCCTTTTGCTCATCTCACTAACTGTAGGAAGTCACTTAACAGATGAGCGAAACTGAGGCACGGAGCGGCAAAGTCGCACACCCAAGATCACACAGCTGGCAAGGACGTGAATCTGGCCCCAAAGCCCGTGGTGACCCCCTTGGCCCTGTGTCTCGGATCCAACCCTCCCACCCCACCCACCTGTGTTTCCATGGACTCTTCCTTATTCAATGTCTTTAACCCCCTCGCTCTTTTCACTAAAGAGAAGGGTTTGTTTTGTTTTCAAAAAAAACATGGCTCCCTTAAGCGGAAAACCAGTCTCACGGATCATTAAAAAGAAAATAACCATAAAGTTAAGTATAATGCCAATCACAGAATGGTCCTGACTTCCCGGGTGGCACAGCCCGGGGTGACAGGCAGCTTCCAGCGCCAGGCGTGGGGGCTCACGTCTTTGCCACTTGCGGGAATTTGGGGCACATTGGCCTTCTCTGTGTTGGGACCTCTCCCTGTGGGGGAAAACAGGACTACAGGAGCGCCACCCCCCGAGGCTGCTGACGACCACGGAGCGCACGCGGGGGACCGCCGGGAACAGCACAGGTGCTGGTGCGCGCCACCTCACCACTGTGGGAATCACTTATTGTATGATTTCACCACCGTCACCATTCCGACTTGGTTATCATCATCATCACCACTATTTTGATTATTATTATGACACTGTGGCCTGCTTTTGACCCAAAAGTCGTGCGTTGGAGAAATGTTAAAGGCACATCGGCCCCCAAGTGAGTCTTTCTTGTGGAGAGTTCAGAGGGAGCCCCCCAGCTTCCTCAGATTCCTTCATAGGTTTAAAAATATTTTTCATTACTTTTTTTTTTTTTGAGGAAGATTAGCCCTGAGCTAACATCTGCTGCCAATCCTCCTCTTTTTGCTGAGGAAGACTGGCCCTGAGCTAACATCCGTACGCATCTTCCTCTACTTTATATGTGGGACACCTGCCACAGCATGGCTTACCAAGCGGTGCCATGTCCGTACCCAGGATCTGAACCGGTGAACCCCAGGCCGCCCAAGCGGAACATGAGAACTTAACTGCTGCACCACTTGGCTGGCCCCAAATTACCTTTTTTTTTGGTAACAGATTTTTTGAGATATAGTTCACATACCTACCATCCACCCACTTAAATTCTGCAAGTCCATGGTTTTTAGTGGGTTCACAGATAATAGCTAAGGAGCATGTCTGGCCATAGGAAGGGGTGGCCACCACCACAGTCCTTTCTAGAACATTCTTGTCACCCCAAATAGAAACCCTGTATGCTTTCCTCTCACCTCCCAACCTCCCCATCACACCTGACCCCATGCCACCCAGCCCCTGGCAGCCACAGTCTACTTCCTGTCTCTACAGATTTGCTTACTCTGGACACTTCATATCCATGGAACCATCTAGATTGTGGCTTCTTTCACTCAGCACAGTGTTTTCAAGGGTCATCCATTGTGTATCACGAATCAGAATTCATTCCTTTTTAGGCCCAAATATTACTCTATCGTGTGGATCAACCACAGCGTGTTCATCGTGTGTCAGATGATGGACACCAGGCGGTTTCCGTCTCTGACTACTGGGATAAAGCTGCTGTGAACACTAGTATAAGTTTTTGTGTGGACACGTGTCTTCACTACTTTGGGCGCGCACCCCAGGACTGGAGTTTCTGGGTCCAGGGGGAGCTCCACGCTCACCTTGTTGAGGACCCGTCAGATGGTTTTCCGAAGCGGCTGCCCAGCTCACGCCTATTTAATGATGCCCAGCTCATGCCCCGCAAGTCCATCTTCTCTCTCCCCACAGCGTCTAAGCCCCCGGTGCCCTCCTCCGTCCTCCCGGCCTCTGGGGTCCCCAGGCCAAGACGCAGACTCACCTGTGAGGGGCAGGGAGCTGGAGAGGCGGACCAGGGCGATATCGTTGCTGTTCTCCTCGCTGCTGGGGTCTCGAAAGGGGAGGTAGGCCCCGTGGTAGACCACCGCCTGCATCCCCAGCTGCAGGCCGTGGGGCGAGGCCTGGGCCACAGCGCCGGCAAACACTCGCCAGCGGGACAGGACGCGGTTCCGCCTAGCAGGGGACAGGAGGGGAGGGTGGCAGTCTGCCTGGGCGCAGCCTCCCGCACCTCGCCGCTCCGCCACCGCCCCCCTCAGCGCCATGGGGGACACTCACTCAGGGAAGCAGTGGGCAGCTGTCAGCACCCAGTCTTTGGAGAGCAGGGACCCCCCACAGAGGTGTGCTCCGTCGTAGCGGAGACTGACTTGCCATGGCCACCGGCCCAGGCTGGTGTCCTGGCCTCCCACGATGCGGTCTACGGGCAGCTTCCTGTGGCCACAGTCTGTGGGAGGGGGCGTCAGGGGCAGTGGGGGATGCCGGGACCCCTGGGGGTCTGCGAGGACACACCCCAATCTGGGGAGTGTGAAAGGACACGACCCTGGCCTGAGGGATCTGAGGGAACGTAGGCCCATCCTTGGGGACCTCTGGGGACAGGGCTCCGCCCTGGGGAGTCTGGGATGACACAGGCCCCTCCTTGTAGGATCTAAGAGGATATGGCCTGCCTGGGGGCATCTGATGGGATGTGGTCTTGCCCTGGGGGGTCTAAGGTGGAGGTTCTAAGTGTCGGGGCCTCACCTTGGCAGAGAGCAGTCAGGAAATGGCCTCTGGGACAGTCACTGCGAGGGAGACAGTGACGGAGATGCAGAGAAACAAAAAGTGGGACCAGTTAAGACAGATAAAGGGAAAACGAGGGCAGCAGGCAGGGCGCGGCTTGGCGGCCCGGGATATGCCCCCCCGCCCCCCCCCCCGCTGCCCTCCTCACCACACAGAGATGACCTCGAGCAGCCTCCGGGCGTGGGGCAGCCTCCCCTCGTCCACGCAGAAGAAGCCCGACGTGCCGTTGGCGCCCGCCGTCCGCACGTCCAGCTCCGAGTGCTCCAGCGCCCTGGGCGGGGCAGGGGTCAGGCCTGTCCTCCCGCCCCCTCCCCCGCGCCCCCCCGGGGCACCCCGGTACCTGAGGAAGCCCATCTCCTCGCAGCTGAGGCCTGCTACCCTGGCGTTGGAGCGCGAGGAGCAGAGCAGCCGCCAGGTCCCTTCCGTCTCATCAAACACCGTGAGCCGTGCGTCCGCCGGGCTGACCTGCACTGCAGGACAACAGGACCGCAGCCGGGTCACCCTCCTCAGCCCTTCCAGGTCAGCTCTCCAGCCTGGGGCTCTGGGCCTGAGTCCCTGCAGGCCGATTGGAGCACCCCATGTCCCCACATCTGTGCTCGCACCTGCAAGGGCACGTGCGTGACTCAGTGGACCCTTGAATGGCAGCCCTGGGACTTTGGCTGGCCCCATGGGAGCCGGGGGACTTCCACTCGCCCCTGGGCTTCCTAAGCTGGTTGCTCATGTAAGTCTGGAACTTTGCTGGGACATTTGGGAAGAGGGAAACGGTTTTAACCCAGCTCCCAAGAGAATGGCGTGGGAGGCTGGATCTGCCAGGGCCCATCTTTGCCCCCATGAGGGAAATATAAGCCAACATGGAGAAAAGCCAGGAGACTTCTGGTAACATTTTTAAAGCCCATTCGTGGAGTCAGGCTTGAAGAACCCCTAGAATCTGATTATGTAAGTTAATCACGTCCCATTTTGTTTAGCCAGTTTCTTTATTTTTTTCCTTTTGTCTTTTGCAGCCTGAAGACCCTTGACTAATACATCAGATTGCCAAAATCTTTAAATAGATATCCTATAATCTTTAAAAAACAAAACAAAAAAAGGAAAGAATGCTATGTTTTCCGCAGGACTTGTCAGAGCCTTGAATATAGGAGGAAAGTGCATGATAATTCTCCAAACAGAGGATGCAGTTTTCATTCATTCATTCATTCAACAAGCATTAAATAGACGCGTACTCCATGCCCAGTCCCACCCTGGTGCGGGGTGATGCTGGGGACACAAAGATGACCAAGACAGTCCTGGGCTATGCCCTCACCAAGCCAAAGTCTGAGAACTGGGGAAACAGACAACAATAACAAAGTCACCCAAGCAAACACAACATCCCAAACTGAGCAGGGGCGGGGCAGAGATGTACAGGAGGGCTGGAGAGAGCCTACGGGGGATCCCTCCTGCCTGGGGCTAGGCGTGTGGAGAGCCAACCCTCCCCTCAGCTCCCCCTAGGCTGCTCCCCACACCTGGCCGGACGGACAGACAGACAAGCCTCGTTCACAGCTGGCCACGGCCCTTAGGTGTATTATTTCCTTTACCAGACACTCTGTACGCACCCAGCTCTATCCTGGGCAATGAACGAGTCAGACAAACCTCTGCCCTGTGGAGCTCGAGGGCCGACAGGTGAGACGGAGACAGACCAGGACAAAGCAAAGTATATGGCGTGTCACAAGAGAAGAAGGGGCCAGGAGAGAAATCAGGCTTGACGGGGGCAGCGAGAAGGTGGTACCCAAACAAAGATCCGAAGGAGGTGAGAAAGAGAGTCGTGAAGACAGGAGACGGAGCATAGAACTAGGCCAAGAGAACCGCAGAGATCCCAAGGCTGGGGGCGGTGTTTGAGGAACAGCAAGGAGCCTGGAGCAGAGGCAGCGAGCGGACATGAGGCGGGAGACAGACCAGAACACGAGGACTTTGCTTTTACCCCGCGTGAGTGCAGCCAGGGGAGGCTCTGAGCCAGGAGGGCCCTGACCTGACTGAAGTTCACAGGCCGCTCCTGGCTGCTGTGGGGAGCAGACTGCAGGGGACAGGGATGGAGCAGGGAGACAGGGCGGGGGCTGCTGTGATGGTCCAGGAGGCAGAGGATGGAGGCCGGGCCAGGGTGGGGCAGTGGGGAGAAGAGTTTAGATTCTGGATAGATGTTGTGTGTGGAGCCCACAGGGTTTGCTGAGAGACTGGATGTGCGTGTGAGGGAAAGAGAGGGGTCAAGGACAATCCGAGGTGTTTGACTGGAGCCACGAGAAGGATGGGCCTGACACCGACCAGGATAGGCAAGGCGGGGAGGGAGCGGGCTTGGGGAAAGGTCAGCTGTGAACTCCTGGGTCCTTTTCTCCTGAGCCTCCTGCATGGCTGGTGTTCCGAGAGCACATTCCAGAAAACTGAGTCTGGTGCAAACTCGCTTTTGCATCCTCTTAGCAGGGACCGGGCGAGGCCACACCCAAGCTGAGAGGTCTTCCTGCCGCCCTGCAGATCTGGACAAGGGGAGGCAAGGCTGCCAGGGAGAACCTGGCTTGCTGAGGACCTACTGTGTGCCGAGTGCCATGCTGCATGCTCTCCCTGTCCCGCCATCAACCAAGACGGGGCCCACCACCCCGAGGCCACAGAGGTTATTCCATTTCCAGATGGGGAAGCTGAAGCTTGGAGCAGTGGGGTGACTTGCCCAGCATCGCCAAGGGAGTCAAAGGCAGTGAGAGAGGATCAGGCTCGAGTGACTCCAAACCCCAAGCTTTCAGCGTCGCCCTAGACAGCCTCTCAAGGCACATTCCCTCCTGGGGGTTAAAAACACCAGCGCTATCATAAAACTCTGGCTGTGTTCCCTGGGGACAGCAGTGGGCTGGCCTCGACTATGTGTCATATCTGGAGGGTCCTTCTTAGAATCCCACAGCCACCCTGGGGAGTGGAGGCCATCTCGACGCCCATCTTGCAGATGGGGAACCGAGCCTGGAGAGTGTTACTTGCCCAGGAGCATAGGGCTCAGAGCCCAGGTCCCCCGACCTGCACATGCCCTGCCCCTTCCCCGTCCCCAGCCTGAACACACCCACCCACAGCCCAGACTAAGAGCTTCCTGGCTGGCCTGTCGTAACTATGGCCTCCTGCTCCAGGGTGGGGCAGGGGATGCCTGGCACCTCTGCTGGGTAGTCCCTACCACTGCCTGAGTCCCAAGACCAAGACCCAGGTTTGAAACTCCACCTAGGGGTGGGGATGAATTCTTATTTTAAAACTACTTCTGGGGCCGGCCCGGTTGCGCAGTGGTTAAGTTCGCACGTCCCGCTTCGGCAGCCCGGGGTACGCCGGTTTGGATCCCGGGTGCGGACATGGCACCGCTTGGCAAAAGCCATGCTGTGGTAGGCGTCCCACGTATAAAGGAGAGGAAGATGGGCATGGATGTTAGCTCAGGGCCAGCTTCCTCAGCAAAAAGAGGAGGGTTGGCAATAGTTAGCTCAGGGCTAATCTTCCTCAAAAGAAAAAAAAAAAAGACTTCTAAGGGCTCCAGAAATATGACTTCCAGAAAGTGTGAGGTCTTAGGAAAAAACGATCACTCTGTGGATGTATGTTGGGGGAGGTGGCAGGGGGAGGGGATGTCAAATGCCCCCTCCAATTACTTTTAAAGCCACATTCTGTGCCATTGCTCCTCGCTTTTAAACTCTTTATTCTTGTTTGCATTATTTTAAGCAATGCAAGAAGAGTGCTCTGGGTCACCTTGTTTGCTTACCAAATCATCTGATATATTTAGAGGTGTGAAAATCCCCGAGAAATGAGGTGGGGATATAGTTTTGTGGTTGCTGTTGTTTGTTTTGTAATTTCCCAACGTTTTGGAAAAACCCACGTGTAACTGAGGGGAAGGGCGCCGGGGTCGGCGAGAGCTAGTGGGAATCGTGGGTTCGTTACTGTCCCACTGGAGGCTGGGGACAAGTTACGTCATGCCCGGATTTGTCTTCCTGTTTCTTCCTTAAGCACAGAGTCCTGAGCACTTACGCAACAGACACTGTCTGGGGCGGTGCCCCTGGGAAATTCACGCATCAGGGAGAGACAGATGCAGTCAGAGTAGAGTGGAGCTTCCCCGAGTTGGGGAAGCGGTAGGGGTTCAGGGACGCCAGAGACAGGGTGTGGGAGGGAGCACCGAGTCTGGGGCACAGGAAGGCCTTGCTCAGGAAAGTTAGAGCCCGAAGGGTGAGACACGAAAGCCAAGGTTTCAGGAGCTGGCTGAGGGCATCTCCTCCAAGTCCCACCCAGCTTCAGAAGAGGATGCTGCAACTCGGAGGGCAGGAGAGGCCTCAGGCTCAGCAAGGACGTGCAGAACCGCATCCTGCCTGGGGCGGGAGTGCCAACAGGCAAGAGCAAAGGCTGCGAGCCAGGAGGGTCCCTCCAGGGCATGAGAGGGCCCATGAGCTGGAGCCTGGAGGGCGCCGGGAGCCAGCGTGAGGTGGGCGCAGAGAGGGACCCACAGCCTGGGAGCCGCGGAGCCCACCAGGGGCTGCAACTTCAGCCCAGAGGCAGTGGGGAGCCCTGGAGTGGCTGCCGGCGGGCGTGAGCCCTCTGCCCTGCCACTTACTCCACACGTGGTCTCAGGCAAGTCAGTTCCCTCCACTGGGCTCAGCTTCCTGCAGCTGCAAAGTGGGGTGATGACAACAGCCCCGGCTTCCCAGGGCCGCTGCGCAAAGGCTACGGACAGGGCCTGGCACACGTTAGCCATCACTATGGCAACTCTCTTGACTTTTTCTTGAGAAACAACAGTGTGACAGCTCTACACAAGGGCTGGATCCAGGCCGCTGGGTTCAGATCCCAGACCTGCCACGCACAGCTCTGTGACCTGCGGCCAGTCCCTTGGCCTTTGGCGCCTCAGTGTTCCCCTCCTGAAATGGGCTGGTGGGAGGACTGAATGAACTGATGTGCCCGGCACGTGGAAACGCTCGCTCAGTGCGCCCACGAGGGCTGACACTGAGGGCAGCTTTCCTCGTCCACGCTTCCCTTTCTTCTAAGGTGAGCCCAATCCTTTATGGAATTGATGAGGCTTGTGGGAGTGCAAAATCCATTCCATCACCCAAGTTCCCCTTTCCTCCTGCTGCCCCGGGCCGCAGAACAGCAGCTGGGAGCTTAAATTTGGGAAGATTCATTCATTCATTCCACAGTTCATTTCTGTACCTTTTTACTAGTGTGGTCACTCATTCCACCTGCCTGCAGACACATCCCCACCAGGCAAGGCTAAGAGCTGCTCCCAGCCCCAGTGTTTCCCAGCTGCCTGTTCTCACTTTCCACATCTGTAAATGGGGGTAGTAGTAGCAGCTACCTCCCCAGGAGAGCTAGAAGTTTCGCCGAGTTCACACAGCACCTCTCAAACCTGTTTGACCATGCCCCACAGTAAGAAACACATTTTTACATTATCACGTAGCCCTGAACTTCTGTTCTCTGGGGCAAACCATCACATTGCTCGGAGCCTCAGTTTCCCCATGTGTAAAATGGAGAGAATAAGACTGCCACCCTCATCAAACGGAAGCAAAGCTTAACAAAGCTTTTACTCACGGAGCGAGAGGCACTCTGATATTTTCTAATCTATTTCATACTTTTAAAAATGTGGTTTTCAACTCGCTCATTTAATTTCATGACGCAATAACGGGGAACACGCGTAGAGTGTGAAAAACACCAGGTGAGACAAGTGAAGAGCTTAGAACAACGCCTGGGCCAGAGCGGGCAGCTTGATGCAAGTGCGTGCGCTATTACCAGCATCTCTGTATCTGTTCATCGCTTCAAAGGATCCTGCCCCAAGCAGCGCCCCCAGGCACAGTCGCCTCCAGGACGCCCCAGACAGCCCCAGCCGGCCTTGCTCACCTGGATACAGCGCCTCCTGATCACTCCTGAGCAGAAGGGTCACTGCAGAGAAGGCAGAGGTGAGGGCGGGCAGGCCAGGGGGCAGCAGGGGCCCCAGGAGGCCAGATGGGCAGGGGGCCACGCTCACCAATGGCCCAGGATGCCGCCCCGATGCCTGTCAGGAGCAGTAGGGTCCCCGCAGTGAAAGCTGCCACCTTGGGTCCGGAGCAGCATGGGACAGTCCGGCCACCTGCAACAGACAGCATGCTGGGTCCCACCAGGCCTATTCTCTCCGCAGCAGGGTCTGGGCATGGGGCCAGCTCCGCCCTGCCCCCCCAGGCTTGACTAGGCAAAAGCCTAAGCCTGCCATGGCCTGGGCCCAGTTTCCTCCCCCGCAGTGTGGACGACCAGGTGTCCAGCTCCCCAAGGGTTCCAGCTGGGAAGGGGTGTGGCCTCGACGGCTGCCACCCTCCCTGCCTGCACTTACGGGATCTTTCCTCCCCAGTGATACCACGCTTCTGTATCTCTCTCATCACACTGTGCCATCTTTTCTTGGACCTCTCACTTCTGCCGACTTTCCCAGGGCTTCTCCAAGCCTCTTGGGGGCTATGACCCCTGACCTTCGCCCTCTTGGCAGCTCTCTTCCCTGCTGTTCAGCATTTCCTCACTGCCTCACTTCTCCCTGCTGTTCCAGACCCTCTGTCCCCGGGGAACCTCCAAACCAGACCTCTCCCACAGGACCCCGCTCCAAGGTCAAATCTGCCTCTGGAGGTTGGGGACCTAAGTGTGGAATTTGTGAGCCTCACTTAAAAATACTGGCCTTACCTCTTGTTGGGTGGGGCCTTGGGCAGGTGGCATCGCCTCTCTGAGCCTCAGCTTCCTCATCTACTTAATGGGCATCCACCTAGCACTCATCCCTAAATGCAATACTTTAAAGTTCTTTTAAATAATAAAAATCATCATCCTCATCATCGCCAAGCTCTGCTCAGAGGCTCGCGCTGTGTCTGTGCCACCCCGATGCATTAATACATTCAGCTCCTGTCTCAGTTATGAGTCTTATTTTTCAGACAGGGGAAACTGAGGCACAGAGAATGGAGTCGCGTGCCCAGGGCAACTTAGCCAGGAAGAGGCAGGGCTGAGCGCAGGAGCCCGGGGCCCAGGTGCATAACCACAGAGCCGCCCTACCCCTCTCTGTGCTGTAGGCCGGGCACACAGCAGGTTCGAGATAATGCTTGCAAAATCATTAGAGCTGTGTGGTCCTGGGCAAGGGCCTTCCTCTCTCTGGGCCGCAGTTTTCTCATGGGTAAAGTGGAGCTTTATTCATTCACGGTCTTACGGCTGTGCACCTGGCTCCATTCCAGGCTCCGGGGACACACCCCAAACAAGACGGATGAGCTGTGGCTCTCACCGGTCTCAGGTGTGTAAGGCAAGGTGGGGATGTAGATAAGGAAATGAGTAAATGAACTTGGTAACTTCCAGATTGTGGCAAAGTCTATGAAAATAACGCAGGTCGGGGCCGGGGTGGTGTCCGCATGGGGCACAGGGAGAGCCTCCCAAGAAGTGACTTCTGAGCTGGGGCCTGAAGGGCGAGGCCAGACGTGCAAAGACCGTGGGCAGAGGGGGCAGCACAGGCAAGGCTGGAGGCCAGAATGAGCACAGTCTGTCAGAGGGCGAGCGAAGCCGTTGACGTGGCCAGAACAGCGTAAGCTTGGGGAAGGCCAGGGGGGCCAAGGCTGGGCCGGCTGGGGAGGCCTGGGCCCAAGGAGAAGAGGGATTTCATTCCCAGCTCAACGGGGCCCCTGGGAAGTAAAAGCCAACCCGTTCTCTGGGGATTGTCCAGGGCCCAAAGAGATAAGGCTGCTCAAAGCCTCAGCGGGCCTAGCACACGCTCCACTGCCCTTGGCATCTGCAGGGCCCCCCAGGGCTGCAGGAGCTCCCGGCTCTCCCCTCTGTGTCGTGGGAGGACAGCTGGTGGTCACAGGCCAGCCAGCACCCGGAATGGAGTGGGAGTGGCCCAGGAGCCTCCTGGATGGCCAGTGTCTGGGTGTCTCAAGGACTTGAGAGCCCCGCAGCTCCCGTCAAGGCACTAGAGAGCAGTCCATCCCCCCAGAGAGGCCCCAGGGAGCCGGACCAGCCCAGCCCCCGCTGGCTGACCCTCCGTCACAAGAAAAGGCCGGCAGTCCCACCCCAGCTCCCCCCCAGCCACCTTCCAGGTCAGTGGGAGGTCTGGCTCCCCTCGGCTGCTCAGCCCAGCCTGGAGGCTCTGGTGCGTCTGCTGGGGCGGGAGGCACCACCACCCCTGTCTCCCAGGGCAGAGGATTGCCCTTCCATGCCCTCTGGTTCAGGGGACCCCAAAGCCAGTGCCTCTGGTGAGACAGGAGGCGCCCTCACTCTGAGAGGGACAGCATCCTCGCCGTGAGTCCTCAGGAGCGAGAGGCCTCTGTGCACAGCAAGCCAGCGCCCTGACTTCTCCTCGAGACCCCGCTCCTCCAGGGGCCACCCACCTCTTCCCACACGACAGGTCTGCTGCCCCCACCGATCAGCTGCCAACACCCCCCAAGGGACGTCTTCGGCTCCTGTCTCTAAAACTGCCCTCGGTTGATAGCTCCGTGTCTCAGTCCTCATCACACGACTCCAGCTCCCTGAAGGAAAGGCTCTCCTCGTTTGACTTCTGGGATACCACCTGCACCTGATGTCCCTTCCCCGTCTCCTGAGCCTCCACCCACTGCCTGAAATCTGGAGTTCACAGGGCGGGCCATGGCCCCCGCCCTCCAGGCCTCCTCCCACCCAAGTCTGTCTCACCCACCTCCACAGCCTCAGTTTCCCTTTTCTGTCTCCAGCCCTGGTCCCGGCCCCTTAGTCCCGGATCAGGGGTCCGGCAGCCTCTTAGATGCCTCCCCATGGAATCCCCTAGGTCCTTCACGTCCCCCAGGTCCCATCTGGTCTCAATGTCTCCCCAGGTGCTAGGTTCAGTCTCAGAGGCCCCCATCCTCAGCACCGTCCCTCATGTGCAGGATGCCTCCCTCCCCCACAGCTTGCCAGCTCCACGGCCTGCAGGCCTCGCCAGTGCCTCCTGTCCCCTGTGCTTCCCTGCCCCCAGCCCCATCCACCCCTGGGCTCAGTCCTCCCTGAGGTCCAGCATCTCCACGGATGCCTGGGGGATCCTCCTAAACACCAAATCCAACCTCTCCCTTCTTTACCCAGAATCCCCCGTGAGCCCCCAGAGTCCCCAGGACAGTCTAAGGATACAAGCATGGCTGTTAGTGATTCGGGGGCTGCACATGCTTCCCCAAAGTCATTACCAGACCCCCCGAGAGAGTTTCCAAAAAGCAGCCAAACCACAGAACCCATAAAACACAGACACACATTAGAGGAAGAAACACAGCGTGACCTCCAGCACCCTCTTGTGGAGACACCCAGCACTGCAGGGCCTGGCCAACCTCTCGGCCATCCCAGCAGACCAGGTCCAGCCTGCACACCTCTCATCTCCCAGCTCCATTTCCAGCTTCACCTCCAGACACACCCAGAGTGCCTCTGCGCCCCTGCACACCGGCAGTGCGTCACTCCCCACCCTCCCACCTCAGCCACGCTCTTCCCTCCACCCGGCACGCCCTCCCTGGCCCATGCCCATCCTGAGTATCAACTCAGATAGAACTTCCTCCAGTCCCAGGGCCCCCGCCTGGCCTAGGACAGACTCCCCCAGCACAACGCTGACTCAAACCAGCAGCCGCCGCAGCAGCAACAGCTCCTAGAATCCTAGCAGGCCGACTCAGCCCGTCCCACCTCTCCTGTGATTTCCTGAAATCCTTGCAACTGTTAATGATGAAGGCATTGTTATCATCATCCCAGTTTACAGACAGGTGCAGCCACCTACCCCGGGTCACCATCAAGTAAGCATCTGTCCGGGTTGGACCCCCCCCCCGCCCCCCACCGAGACTGGGCCGAGCTGCCTGGGGATGCACTGGCGCCCACTCTGCCTCGGTTCCCTCTGTGCCCAGACTGCCTCTGGCCATCCTCTGGGCCTGCTCGGCTTCTCCTCCCTCATTCATTCACCCACAGCCCTCAGCCCTGGTGACTCCCTTCGGTCGGCTCGAGGAAGAAGTCATCCCGAAGGTGCAGGGCTCGGCCAGCCACCTGCTGAGCAAGGGCACAGTGGCTCCTCCCGAGCCGGCGGGCGGGAGCCTGGGTTCGCTCAGCCACAGCTGAGTGGCTTGGGGCCTGATTTGGTAACTGTGCTGAGATCCCAGGAGGCCAGCGGTCCACGCTGGTCATTTCAGCTCACACGCTCAGCGCCTCCTGCCTACGTGGCATTTAAATCCTCACGCCACCCCACAAGGTGTGCACCAGGACCATCTCCATTTTACAGATGAAGAAACTGAGGCCCAGAGAGGGGAGCTGCTTGCCCAGGGCCTCACAGCTAGAAAGTGCTACAGCCTGGGACCGAACCCAGCTAGCCTGGTTCCAGGAAGAAGAGAGGGAGGCAGCCCCAGCTGGGGAGGGAGGAAGGAAAGGCCGCCCCTCAGTGGGCCCCTCCAGCTGGCTCCCAGGTGTGGGAGAGGCTGGGAGGGAGCCAGGCTGCCTGGAGCCCCCACCACAGCCGCCAGGAGTCCTCAGTGCCAGCCCCTCGGCCGGCGCTTCCCCGTCCTGCTGGGTGGTTTCTCTGCCGTCTCTCCCTCTCCATCCACCCTGGCCAGGTCCAAAGTCCTCCCTCTGCTCTTCTGCCCACAATGCGAGGAAGCAGGAGGAATGCCTGGAGTCGCTGGGGGTCTTGGGTCCCTGGGACCCCCAGGCAGCCAACCCGTCATGACGGCTCTGGACCTTGGCATGTGTCCTACATGCTAAGCCCCATGTTGGTGCCTTGTGTGTGTTCTACACTCCCAACAACCTCACGTGGGTAGGTAGGTAGCATTAGGGTCCATGCTTGACTCAGGGGGAACCAAAGCCCAGAGAAGTAACGTCCCTTGCACAAGGTCACACAGCAAAAGAGCGGCAGATGCCGATTCAAACACAGGCCCGTGCATTCGACTCCCAACTCTGCATCCTTAACCATGATAGCTAGTCTCCCCACCTTGGCCCTACACAGATGACAGGCCCAGGGTTAGCTGAGAACTCACTGGGGGGCGAGGGGAAACTGAGGCAAGGAGCCAGGAAAGTCATAAGGGGCAGCAGGGAGGCAGGGGGTGGCACAGCCCCGCAGATTTGGTTAATAGTTAACAGGTGGGGGCGGCTTCAGAAGGGGGTGGGGAGGGGCCCAGGAGGGCTGTGAGAGAGAGGGGGCTCCAAGGGGGTGGAGGGTGGGGAAGAGAGCATGGAGGGAGGGGTGCAGGCAGAGCCAAAGTTGGGGATCAGGGAAGGGGGACTCACCCTCCTTCTCCGCCATGTCACGGCCTCTTGTTAATGATTCCCCGGCTGACCTCCTGGGCCGGGGCGGGCCCTGTGGGGAGACGAACGGGGAGGCAGGGCCCGGGGGGGCCAGCCCAGCCCGGGTGCCCCCAGTCCCAGGCGCCCATCCAGGGAGGCTGCAGGGACTGGGCCCTGGCCAGAGCACGCCATGATCACGGACGCAGATTGGGCTGGGTTCAAGGATGGGGTCAGTGTCTGACCAGCGGCCAGGAGACACCTGGATTTGCAGGACTGGGGCGCCCGTGCTTGGGCCGGGGGGAGGCAGGGACTGAGGGTCTGAACTCCTGGGTTCGAGGGAAGAGAGAGCCGGGGGCCTGGATTTCTGGGTCCTGGGGAGAAGGGGCTGGGGGCTGGACTCCTGGGTCTGAGGGCGGAGGAGACTGGGGCCCAATCTCTGAGTCTGAAGAAGGGCCACAGCTCCAAGGTCCCTGGAGAGAAGTCAGAGACCCCACTCTTGAGGTCCCCCAGGGCCCCTTGATTGGGAGGTGGGCTCTAGGTTGGGTGGGAGTGAGGGGACCCACATCCTGGGGACTGTAATTGAGGGCCCTGGTCCTTACCCTGGGGTCCGGCAGGTGGGGGCGGAGCTGAGAGGTGGTGCCGCCTTGGGGTCAGTCTCCAGGCCTGGGCAGGAGCATGGTGGCCCCGCAGCAGCGGTGGCCGGAGCGGCGTGGGGCCTGCTAGGCCTGGCTGCCTCACCTGAGGAGGAGGAGGCTGGGCCAGAGGCGGGGAAGGGGCGGGCAGGGGCCGGGCGAAGGGATTGGCAGCATCGCAGGCCACCTGGCTGGAGGGGTAGGGTTTGCAGGGGCTGGACTGGGCCGGCCCAGCAACCTGCCTCGCCTCTGGCTGGAGGGGGCCCAGGTGAGGCCGTGTGAGGGGAGGAGGGAGCAGGGGCAGCTCGCCTGAGGGCCAGGGGTTCCAGGAGACAGAACAGGCTGCGTGTAAGGACTGAAGGATGGGACCTCAGGGAGGGCCCCAGCTGCCCCTGCCACCTCTCCTGCCCCCTGCCCAGCCCCCACCCTGCCCCAGCGCAGGCCGAACTCTGTCCTTGTCCACACTACCCCTCCCGGCACCCCTGCCCAGCCCCAGGCCCACCACTGCCCCTGCCCTTTCCTGCACCCCTGTCCAGCTCCTGAATGAGGCAGCCCTGCCCTGCCCAATTGCGGGCCCTTCCTGCCCCAACTCTGCCCCCTCCCATGGCCCCGGCCCTGAGCCCTCTCCCCCACCCCTCCCCCAGCTGCCTTCCTACAAGTCACGGGGGCTGGTTTGCTTTGGCAGCCTCTCTGCCGCCTGCAGCAATGACCTCTGGAGCCGGGAAGTCCCGGACAGACGGGGGATGGGGGGCCTGGCCCGGAAAAGGCAGCACTGAGCGCTAAGGCCCAGGCCAAGAGGCCGGAAGTGTCCGGAGGCAGACCCACACTGTCCCACCGGCAGCCAAGAGTGACGCACGTCAGGCCCCAGGACCAGACAGATGCCCAGACACTGGGGTCACCAGCAGACACCTGCCCGTGGACAGCCACGCACCCAGAGTCAGAGCACAGCTGCTCCCCAGACAGGCTGTCCCACACAGCTGCCCCAGGCACCCTCCCCTCAGAGCCCCATGCTGCTCAGCCGGGATCCCCATCTCTCCTCCGCTCTCCACTCGCAGCCCTCTCTCTCCTTCCCTCTCCCTCTCCGCAGCTGCCACCTCTGCAGAGAGACCTGCACTGCTGGGAAGACAGCAAACACCCAAACTCCTGCCTGCCGCTCTTCTCTCCATAGCCCCCCAACCCCCATCCTGGCCTGGGCGCCTCTTCTCCCTCTGGCTCCCTCCCTACTCACAGTCGCTCTCAGCTAATGATCCCCCCGACTCTGAGGCTAACCAAGTCTGAGCAGCTGCCAGCGCTGGGCCCCCACCGGTTCCTTCCCCATTCTCATCTCCTAGCGTGTGCGGCGGGTGGTGGAGGGTCCCCAGGAAAACTGAAACGCCTGGATGTGGGGAGGCGCGTAGAGGGTGACTCGGCTCACCAGACAGACTTCCAATCAAGTCCAAGAATCTTTATTCCATGAACAAAACTATTTGTGTCAAGAGAGACGAGGCTGAATGGGCCCTTTCTAAGTGGCCACACTCCAAGGCTGGTGAGAGAGGGCGGGTTGAGCTGGGGCAGGAGTGCATCACAGGAGAGGGGACCCCAGGTCCAGCCAGAGGAAGCAGGAGGAGAAGTGCCGCTGGGGGTCAGAGTGGCTCCCAGAACCCGCTGCCCCAAGCTGTTCTGGCCCATCACCACCCCCTCTGGGCAGGGAGGGGGCAGGGAGGGGCTGGGCCCCAGTAGTGCGTGTCTGAAGCGGCCAATGTGTGCAAATCAGCAAGAAGGGGGGTGAGGGGCCGCTGCCCCCACCTCACCGCCCCCCCCAACAGGCAGCAGAAGCAGGGCGGGGGCAGCGGCAGTATTGCTTTACCCATCATGCATGGCGCGGGTGGGCGATGGGGCGGGAGAAAGAAGGCTGCATTGGGGTGTCAGCCAAGCCCCCTGCCCCCTCCCACCCCGGAGGCTCCGTTGGCAGGTCTCTGAGGCTTGTGGAGGCCCAGGAATGGCCCACCCCCATTGGGGGCAGGCTGTGCCCGGGTGTTTCCCAGTAGGGCTGGCTCTTCCTTGAGGTGAAGCCCAGGGCCTGAAGGTGAGGGAGAGACAGGGCATCAGGGACCGAGGGGGCTGACACCGCCCGGGCCCCCGGGCCCTGCCCACCCACCCACCTTACCAGGGCTATTCGGCCACCTGGACGCCCGTACAGTTCTCTTTGCTTTCTGAGGTGATGGCCAGGTACTCCGAGCTGTGGGGGCAAAGGCCAGGTGTACAGGTGACCCATCACCAGTCCGGCCCACCCCAGCAGACTGAAGAGGGTGGAGGTCTGTGCCCCAGGTGCTCAGGGCTCCGGAGTTAGAGGAGGGGGCTGCGGGCTAGACTCCTAGAGACCCACAGGAAGTCCTGGGTCTGAGGCAGGAGGGAAGCGGGGGCTCAGACGCCCAGGTCCCAGGGGAGAAAGGGGTTAGGGCCCTGGATTCCTATAGCTTTGGGGAGAAGGATGCTGGGCTGAACCACGGCCCCGAGAGAAGTGGGGGCTGAGTCTGAGGGAGGAGGGGGGTTGGACCTGACGGCAGCCATATTTGTCTCTGACGACAGGGACGGCGCACTGGGTTGCCCCCAGCCCCCTCCCCACTCCGCTCAGGCTCCCCTGGGGGAGTCCCGGGTGCCTGGGTCACCTCCCTCACCCCCACCGCCACTCACGCGTTCTCCTGTGCGGCGGCCTCCGTGGCGGCCGCGATCTTCTTGTAGCAGTACACCATCTCCGCCACGAGCCAGATGGTCAGCACCACGATGAGCACGTACATCATGATCTCCGACACGATGGACGCCATGTCTCTGTTGGCTGCGGGGCCAGGCACAGTCAGGCGGCTGCCGAGCCCAGGCTGGGGGAGCCAGCGCAGCCTGAGCGTGCTTCCAGCTTGTGGTTGAGCTTGGGCAAGTGTCTGGGCCTCCCCGGGCCCATGGGACCCATGCAGCTTCCCCGGGGCCATTGTTATTGCTGTGATTCTAAATAAACAGCCTTGGGTGGGCCTTGGGGTCACCCTCCTCATGCCTCCCTGTGTGACTCGGGGGTCATCTCTGTCACTCAGGTGGCTGCAGGTCCCCCAGATCTATAGTTCTGCCACCCAAGGGCTCAGGTTCCAATCCTGGCTCTTGCCAGCTGTGTGGCCTTGGGCAAGTGACTCAGCCTCTCTGGCTCTCAGTTTCCCCATCTGTTAGAAGTTGATAATCACAATATCTCCTTCATGGGAGTGTCATGAGAATGACATAAGCTTTAAAGATCCTTAGACTAGCACCTGACATAAATAGCATTCAATCAATGTTTGCTATTATTAATATTACTATTACTGTTATTGTTGGGGCTGTACAACGTGGAAGAGCAGGGGCGCTGGGGCGAATTGGCCAGGGTTCGAATCCTGGCTCTGCCTCTTACTAGCTGTGTGACCTTAGGCAAATGACTCTACCTCTCTGGGCCTTGATTCCCCCTCTGCAAAATGGGGAAGATAATACTCATGGCCTCTCACAGGGCTGCTGGGAAAAGGAAGCGAGTTAACATCCACAAGGCTCGGCAGCGCAAGCCATCAGCACCAAGCGGCGGGGCGGAACCCCCAGCCTCCGGGCCGCGCGGCCCCTCTCACTGCCAGCTTCCTTTCATTGAGCCTCAATTTAAACTGCAAAAGACGCGATTCAGCCAGAGGACCAACCAGAGCGCAAGGCCACCCGGGCGTCGCGCCGGCTGTCGCAGGTCCGCCTCGCATGCCGGCTCCCTTCCCAGTCGGCCGGATCTGCTTTTCCCCGCGGTGCGCGCGCGTCCTCCCGCCCTGTGCGCGGCCACTTTCTGCGGCCCCTGCCCCCGCGCAGGTGGCACCCGGGCTTTCTGCGCCAGAGTGAGGGAGGTGCGCGCTGGATGCTTCTCCCTGCTTCCCTGCAGGAGGGGCCGGGACGGATTCCACGCCTCATTCATTCACTCGTCCATTCATTCATTCGTTCACCCCTTCCTTGCCTCCAAAGCTGTCCTGAACGTGACCTCTGGGCCAGGCTCTGTGCTTCACCCCAGCGTCTCTATCTGAGCATCTCCCCGACTCTTCCAAACCACCCCAGGATAGAGACGTCCTGGCTTCGCGCTCAGCTGCCCTCAGGAAGACACTGAGTTGGCTACAAGTGGATAAAGTCACCTCACTGGAATTCTCGGTCTTGCTCCTGGGACTGAACGCCCAAAGGAATTTGGTAACCTGGAATCTCCGGCTCTTCCAATTAGATTAGGACAGTGACGGCACGGGTCTGTAACCCGTTTTCCAGACAAGGACATTGAGGCCCAGAGTGGGGAAGGTGCTGGGCCAAGGATGCACAGCCAGGATTGGACTCAGGGCCAGGGTTCAGCCCCGAGTGCAGGTGACTGCAGCGTCCGAGCTGCTCTGCAGAGCTTGCACAGCCAGAGACTCAGCGATAGCGGCCGGGGATCCAGCGCAGCCTCCACCAACCCACACAGACACCCGGGGTGGCTGTCATTCTCCCTTACAGATGAGGGACCCAGGCAGAGCGTCACACAGAGGGTCAGAGGCACCTGCTGTGGGGAGACCTTCAATTTCTTCAAACATCCCCAACCTCCTAAGAGCTCTACCCACCACCCACAAGGGTAGCCCCCAGGTCCCACGCCCCAGCCACACCCCTGGGGCCGGCTTTCAGACATTTTCCACTCACACCGACGACATCCCAAGCAGAATCAGCCCTTTCATCCCCGCCTGCCAGCCCTACTCCTGGTTGGGGGACCCCGGTGCTTCCTACCGTCTTCTGACCCCGCCAGGGCGGAGGGGGTCTCACCACCAACCCCCACTGCCCCTCCTTTGGAAATGACTCGGTTCATTCCCTGGGGGTTACTACCAGGAGGCGGGCGATCCAGGCTGACAGGGAACGCTGAAACCACAGTCTGATGGGGGGGTCATAATAAAAAAGATGATAGGCGGCCGGCAACGCTAACCAGACAATAATACGAAAGGAGTACTGCAGTGTGATGGGTAATGTTAAAAATACTACAGCATGATGGGCAATGATGAACATATTATAACATAACAAGAAAAATTTTAAAATACTACAATATAATTCATAGTATTTTAAGATACTATAGCATGGTGGGTAATGATAAAAATATGGTAGTATGGTGAGTAAT